GGTTTGCATATTAAATTAAAAATATTCATTAATAAATATATATATATATATATATATATTACATCAATATCAAATTTTAATTAATTACGAATACAAAATACTGATACTATCCGAACCGAAAAAGAAAACAAAAAAAAAACAGAAGATACTGAAGAAAAATGAAAAATAATAAAAATGTATTATAAAAAAGATAATAAATCTAAAAGAAAAAGAGGAAACAACGTCTGCCTGATCCACTGTTGGATCATCATCACCATCATAATCATCATCATCATCATCATCATCATCATCATCATCAATGACCCCTTAAGATCGCGATGGGTCACGTTACGAGAAAGATTAAACGCGGCAAAAATTGGCGCGCGTTTTCTTCTTCTTCTTAACCGTTGTTGCTTTACAACAACCCCGCTCACCCCACGCGTCCCACGCCACCCCACAGTCACCCATACTCCCCCCCCCCGCCTCCCCCAGCTAGTCAACTGACGTTCCCACGCTCATGCGTGGGCGTCGCGACGTCACGATGATAAGAGAGAACTGGTTACACGGTAGCTACGACGACGCTGGCGTCGTTTGCTCACAGTGGCCAACGCGATCCCGGCCCGTAACGATCGTTTCCCATAATACGTTAATTTTTTTTTATATCAACAGTTGACTTATCCCCCTGATCCTCTTCCCCACCACCACCACCAATCTACCACCACCCACCCTTCCCCAATCTTTTCCTATTCTTTCACCACGATCAGTGCCCCGTTAACCCCAATTCTTTTTCCTTATTATTTTTATTATCGAGAATACAAATTCGAATTTGTATTTTTTTGAATCATCGATCAAATCAGTGATTAATTAATAATTTAAGGTTTTTGTGATTTTTAATCGGGATGCGTGATTAAATTAATATAAAATATATATATGTGTATATATAGTTGTTTATGAAATAATTATAAGGGTTGAGAGTGCAGTGTTGAGTGAGGAAAAGATATATAGGAATATAGAAAGTAAGTTTTTGATTGGATGAAACAAAAATTTGTTTTAGTTTAAATTATAATTCATTTTTCTTATCTGTAATAAATTATGCATTTTTAGGCTATCATCTAATCAAAAATACATATACACGTATATATATATATATATGCATATATGTTTACGTGTAGTGAATCAAATAAATAAAAAAAGAAAATGGAAACAAATGTGTGAAAAAATAGCGTGAGAAAAAGATAAACCATAAGGTTTCCAGTAACATGAAGGAAATCGTTGAACGTGATGTAACTTTTCGAGAGTTATAATACATATCTAATGTAAGATATATAAAGAACGATGAATTCTTATCTCGAATGGTGGGGGAATGAAGAAGATGAAAGAATTGTAAGAACGAGTCATCCAATTCTTCTTGTCGCGTGTGAATCAACGATATCATCAAAGAAATAATATGTAAGATCACATAGTTTGACAAGTGTGTTGTTTGATTTGTTCAAAGTGATGCTGGTAATAGTAATAGTAGTAGTGTTGATATTGGTATTATGTTGGTTAATAGTGATTGTGTTACCGATCAACAAAAATGGATATTACGGTAAGATTATATTTATCGCAATTATTTTTAAACAATAAAATACAAATTTTGTTATTTGTTTGTCTCTTAAATTTTTGTTAAATTGAAATTATACAATTGTTATCATCAGTATATAATTTTAAAATTTCTAAATAATTTCTTTAACCCTTTGAGTGTTGAATACTTTTAACTGAAGAGAGTATTTTCTACGAATCAGAAATAGTTTATTATTAATGTGACCACACAGATATGCTAATAATAATAAATTATATTTAATAAATAAATTATTTTCATTTGACAAGATATAACAAAAATATTACATTATTTTAACTTTTACTAAACGCATATATGCGTTTATAGCATTCAAAGGGTTAAATTGCAATACACTATATCAATTACAATAAATAAGATATATTTGTATAGTGATTTTTTTTTCGGATATCGAGATAGAAATAATGATTAGAAAAGTTGTCTCTATTTGTTTTAATCTTAGAAATATTCTTAGTTTCCTATCCACGTCCGAAAATATTCGCAAACGTTTGCCTATTTTATTTTCTATTGATTCTCTCACACCTATCTCCGTATGTATTTACTTTTCGATAACTCTCATGGGGTAGGCAAACTTTCGATAGAAAAAATTCTTTTTTAAAAACATAATCATCCTATCCCTTTTTTCTAAAGGGTTAATGCAGGGTAAAAAGGGGAATGTTTCTTTTTTTTTTTTTGTTTTTTACAAGAGAATATCTTAACCGTAATAATTTCATAGACGTTTACACATATTCCATACTACTTTTGGTTTTTTTTCTAACCGTTCAAATCTACCGAAAAATTGGGGAAATAGAGGGAAGGGTTTCTTTTTTTTTGGGGGTGAGTATTTCCGCTATTCTGTTAGCTTACAGTCACATCTCTTTTTTTTTCTTTCTACGTGAATAAATATTTCATTTTAAAGGATTGAAATGATATTTATTATATTTTCATTATTTTTCTTTCCTATTGAAATATATTGTTGAAATATCAAATAATTGTTGAATCAGATCGATATTAACAATTTTTGTTTAATCTCTTAATATATCTATATTTATTTATTTTTTTTTTCTATACAATTATAAGATTTAAATTTATAGCCGAAAATAAAATCAATCAAATGTAAAATGGATTTAAATATTTTTGTTTCAAGACTTTGTTTTTTTCTTTTTTTGAATAATCAAATAAATTCGAATAGAAAAAGGAAAGAAAAATTTGTCAAGCTTTATTTTTTCTTTTCTTTTTGTTTTATTGTACAAAGTGTATTAAACGACAATTGGAAAAACTATTTTATTTATCAAATATATAAATAATTTTAATGACAATCTCTTAAAAATTTCTTATTAAATCATTTCTTATTAAATCATTTCTTATTAAATAATTTTAATGCCAATCTCTTAAAAATTTCTTA